TATTATCATCGGGCGACGAATCTGCTGGCCTCGCAGGCCGTGCACGGGCTGGTGGCCGACCTGGCGACCTCCGCAGCCCACGTCCACGCCTCCATATTCAGGGAGCACACCGCCGAGAGCGCCGAGGAGGGCGCTGTGGGCGACTGAGGAGCCACTTACAGTTGGAGTTAGTTCACTACTTAATTCTTCTTAATTTTAACGGTTGCACCGCAATTGGTAGTTCGATTCACTTGTGAAGAACAACGCGAGGCCGGACACGAACCAGTTCATTCGCGTACGCCAAGAAGAAGCAGAAGGAAGATGGGATCGCCGTTGAAGAAGCAGTTCAACTACAGTTCGTCGGACCTGCCTTGCGCCGGGTGTCAGGAGTTCTTTGTGGAGACCGACGCCGTCGTGCCCTGGGGCTCCAAGGAGAAGCGATGGCATCACCACTGCTTCGGTTCACCCCCCCCCAAACCCCCTACCAACACCTTGTTCGTCATGGTCTGACCTTCGCCCCACCATGTTTAGTGTGCAAGGGCTGCTCGGCCAAGTTCGAGCTGAAGGAGGACAAGTGGATGCACCCGTCGGGCATCGCTGAGTCGGCGGCTGGTTTTCCGCACTGCGGCGACTGCTACCACCGCCTGCTCTCGGTCAGCTGCGACCGATGCAAGCAGCCCATCGCCGGTGCGTGTCTGTTGTAGGCCGCTACAAGCCTCTCTTTTCGGTTTGGCGGTGGTGGATGGTGGGTGGTGACGACAATGTTGGTTGGTACGTCCGGCACACACCAACAACGCGCAGGAGCGTACGTGGACCTGTTCGGGCGCAAGTTTCACGAGGAGTGCTTCTGCTGCGACGGATGCGGAGAGAGATTGACGAGCAGCTTCGTCAAGCGCCCGGCGGAGAAGAAGGCGCTCTGCAGGTGCGTCGTCGGCACGCGCTGCACCTGCTCAGCGCACGCTTGTGATCCTATTCTCTAACAATACACGACACCACGACACCACGACACCACGACACCACGACACCACGACACCACGACACCACGACACCACGACACCACGACACCACGACACCACGACACCACGACACCACGACACCACGACACCACGACACCACGACACCACGACACCACGACACCACGACACCACGACACCACGACACCACGACACCACGACACCACGACACCACGACACCACGACACCACGACACCACGACACACAGGAAATGCGTAGGCAAGCAGGCGGCGGGTGGGTTCGTGATCGATCCGCGCACCGGACAGAAGAAGTTCGCCACCTGAAGAGTGGCCACCACACCTTTCTCTCCTGTTCTCCTTCACTCTATTCTCTATTATTGTCATTATAATGACGACGATGTACATACGACATGGTCTTGGGCACGAAACGATGTTTGGGGGGGGGGGCAATCACATGACGTCCGAGGTCTGGCGCTCGCCAAAGAAGTTGCCTAGAGCCACATCAAGCCAAGGTGAGCACACACACGCACACACTGCACGCGCGGTGTTCGTCGGGAGGGAAGGGCGGGGTGGTGCGCACCGTGGAAGCCAAAGGGGATGTGGTGGGGCACCTGCGCCCGCGCCAGCTCGCTCATGTCCTTGGCATTGAGCACCAGCAGATAGCTCGTTGCCGTCTCCCCATTCAGCACAATGCTAATCGGGCACACGCACGCGCACCGCACACCGCACACGCACACGCACACGCCCACGCACACGCGCACCGCCCACGCACACGCGCACAGCGCACACGCACGGTGAGCGGAAGTGGTGGCCGGTGGTGGTAGGTGAGTAGTACCTGAGCAGGATGCCGTCGTCCTCGTCCTCGCCGTCCGGGGTGGCGAGGAAGATGGGCTCGGCCGGGAAGTGGCCCTCGACGTCCCACACCCACCGCTCGCCCGAGCGCACGTCGACCTTGACCAGGCGGTCGAAGAACTGGCCGGCGTCGCCCTCGCGCGCTGACACGCCGTAGGCGAAGGCGTAGGGCTTCATGTGGTGGCGCGGGTTGATGCGGGGCAGCTCGATCGTGTGGTCGTAGATGACGCGCTTCATGATGCTGCGTGCGGTGCGGGCGTCGCGCAGGACGTTGGTCAGGGTGAAGCGCACGAGCGGCGCGCGGGCGAGGCGGAAATCGGCCCCGAGGATGTTGTCGATGACCAGGTCGTTGATCGGTGCGTTGTCCTTGTAGAGCGCCAGATCGAGCACAATCCTGTTCCCTGCATGCGCACAACCGCACCCATGGCGCTTCAGCCCCGCGTGTGCGTGCGGTGGTACGTGTGGTGTGTGTGTG